TCCTTCTGTATCGTTCTGATTTATTTACTCCCTCTTGTAATATATATATATATATTTAATTTAGAGAATTTCAAGGCTTGTTTATTTTTCCTTTAAACATTATTGTCATAACATTCGATTCTGCAACAAAAATAAATAAATAAATAAATAAATAATAATAATAATGGTGTAAGTTAATTGAGGTATCCGTGCCGTCGGAAGAACACACCAGACAGCCAAAGAAGAAGCAGACAAAAGGCTGAAATATAGAAATTTGGAAATTGAAATAGCCAGGATGTGGGGAACGGAAACGGAAACGATTCCGGTGATCGTGGGAGCAGAACTGGGAGCCATGCCACCACATTAAATAAAAGAAAATTTAAAAGAAGAGGAAACCATCCAGGAAATCGCACTATGTGGGACGGCTCACATTCTTCGAAAGGAACAGCAGCAGGACTATGGAATCGAGTAAAAACCTGGAATAAATGCTTAAAAATTTCTCCGACAAATAAAAATCTTGTCTTGTTTAAAAGTGTCAAATAGTAATAATAATAATAATAAAATTAAACATACAAAAAAAATTTTCCTATTAAAAAAAAAAAAAATTCTAAATTCTTTTCATCAAATAAAAAAAGTTAAGAAATCACCACATTTATCACTCAATAAAATTTTTATAGGAGGGGGAAGAAGTGGGAAGGAGGGGAAGGAGGAAAAATAGAAAACTTTGACAGAAAAAGAAAAAAGTTTGAATTTTTTCTATAATAAAATTTTTTTCTACTGACACGTTTTTTAGTTTAGAAGTTTATGATTTTCTTTTTTTTTAATTACACACACGCACACGCACACACATTCCAACTAATTTGTTTTTATATATAAAATTACATTATGTTCATTATCATTATTATTATTTCCTCCCCTCACCCCCGTAATAATAATTATAATAATGATAATAATAAACTAAAAAATTACATTTATATGATGTAATGATTTTGTTTGTGTTTTTTTCAAGATATAGAAAAAAAAAATTATTTTTAATACCAAACAATAATAATAATAATAATAATAAAACGTTTTTTTTCTTTCATCACTTTCTTCCGTTAGGTTTAAACAAAAATCATGAAGCAGACGACATTAAATAATAAAATTTATAAAAATTATGAAATATATTACGGAGTAATAATAATTTTTTTTTACGTAATTGAATCTTGAAAGGATGAAAAGTCATAAACTTTTCATTTTTTTTTTTTTTTGTAATCTATTTTCTTTAAAAACTAACTGGTTTCCTTTTTTCCTTCCTTTTTTCCTTTTTCCTTTTTTTTTTTATTACTCTAATAAAAAAAAAAAAAAAAAAAAAAAAAAAAGGCAACAAAGGTTTTACTTATAAATAACAACAACATCAACATCAACCTTACAATGTCGTCGTCGTCGTCATTCATTCACACCATTCTGATAATTTTTAATGACACAAAAAAGTGAAGTGGGAAAAATAACAATAATAATAATAATAATAATGATAATAATAATGACAATAGTAATAATAATAATAATAGTAATAATGATGATGATGATGATGATGATGATATTTATATAAAAATTTTTTAGATTTTTTCGTTTTTTTAATAATAAAAAAAAAAAAAAAACTAACTATTATCGTGTGTGTGTGTGTTCGTGTATGTGCGTGCGTGCGTGTGTGTGTACGTGTAAGCGTTTATACATTAACCCGATTATTATTATTATTATTATTATTATTGTATAACAAAATGATGTTTGAATTTAATTTAGTAAATGATATTACATTTTTTTGTTTTTTTTTTTGTAACAAGAACAAATATGTCAAATCAAACATCCCTGCGCAACATTACCCCCGCCCCCTACCCCTCCCCCCCCCCGAAAAAAAGAAATTCGTGTAACGTTTAAAAATTTAAAAACGAAAGCAATATTAATAATCATTAACGTCAATTTTTTTTATTATTATTAAATAATTTTTCTTTTTTGTTTTTTTGTGTTGCACGAGGATGTTATTTCCCATAAAAAACAACAACAACCAAAACAAACAACAAACAATAAACAAACAATAAACAAAAACATTCATCATTACGTTTGTTCATCGGATTTGTTTTATTTTTTTCCAATTAAATTTTTTTTTTTTATCTGAAAATTCGAATTGAATTATTATTATTATTATCATCTTTTTAACAAGCGACAAAATAATAATAATAATAATAATAATAATAATAATAATAATAATAATAATAATAATAATAATAAACGAATGTTTTTGTTTAAATGGGGGGAGAAAAAAAAAAACAAAAGAGAAAAAAATTTTTTAAAAAATAATCAATGAAAAATAATTTTAAAAAAATTTTCCGTCATAGAGTAAATAAACCGATTTTTTTTTTTTTGATTAAATAAATAAATAATAATAATAATACGTTTAAGACGAACGTACCTGAACGTTTTTTGTGCAACGGAGGCTAGAGTCTTCTATCCAGATTCGGTATCGATGATACGCAAGCGAATCCCAAACGAAGCATCACGAGACTGGAGTATATGGAACGGGAATGCTGGAATAAGCGTTCCTTATTCTCTTCTCTTCTTTCTCTCTCTCTCTCTCTCTCTATCGTCACTACAGTCACTGCCGCCGCCGCCGCCACCACCACCACCGCCTCCACCCCCCCAATTCGTCTACATTTTGCTTCGTCCGGCGCCCCAGCGAGCCCGGCTCACCAGCTCAGACCCCAGTCTGTGTGTGTGTGTGTTTCTCCCGCAAAGAATTTTTAGCGGGGAAATGAATAAAAAAAAAAAAAAAAAAAACAAAAATTCTTTTTTCCTTCTGCTTCGATTTCAATGCCGGGGGGCGGGGGTGGGTGGATGGGTGGAGGATGAAGAGGAGGGAGGGGCGTGAATTTTATTTTTAAATTTCCACGTGATGATGTTTGGACACGATCAAAAAATTTATTTAAATGGCGTCCATTTATAAGATTTTCGTGATAATTCATATCAGTCTTATCAATCGTAACGTTATCATTTTTAACGTGTCATTAACTAATTATTATTATTATTATGATTTAAAATTATGAATCCTAAAAAAAAAAAAAGAAAAATTTTCTTTAAATTTTTTTTATTCATCATCATCATCATCATCATTACAAAATTGTTTTTTTTTTTTTTATATCAAAAATGAGAAAAAAAAGAGAAAGACAGAGAGAGAAAGAGAGAGAGAGAGAGAGAGAGAGAGAGAGAGAGAGAGAGAGAGAGAGAGAAAAGGAAAAATTCACAAAGTTTTTCACTTGAATTTAGGTCAAAAAAAAAATGAGAAAAAAAAAAGAGAAAATTCTTGTGAAAAAAATCATATGGACTGACAAACCTTTTTCCTTTTTTCATCTTCTCTTTCCCTCTCTCCCTTTCTCTCTCTTTATTTTATCATCTTTCTTTTAACGAAGAAACAAATCAATTTTAAAAAAAATTTTCTTTTTCTTCTTTAATGTTTTCATTGATACAAACGACGATGAAAATTTTCTCAATTTACTACGAATCACAAAATTTTCTTTTTTCTTTTTTTTTGTTATATAAACTTTTCCCTTTTTGACATTCTACATGTGATTTATTTCTAAGGAATCAGGTTTACGTAAATTTGGTTATTTAAACTTTACTTGTGAAAACATTTTTCAAATTCGTTTCAATCCTTTCGACATTTAACATTTCAATCATTTTATAAACGTCGCTGGAAAATTCTTCTTCTTCTTTTTCACGTTTTCCTATTATTATTATTATTTCATTAATTAAATTAATTAATATCGGCGTGAAATCGATTAAAGTTTTCTCTCTCAAATCGTAATCTTTTATTTCCCTTAGGAAAAAAATCATTTTTTTAAATATGTCCACGTGAGATTTCCCACATTTTCCCATTAAATCCCTCGATGTAAAATTAACAAAATTTCTTATGCAGTGAGAATAATAATAATAACAACGATAATACGGGGGGGTAGTAGATTTTTTTTCTTCGTTAATTTTCATTGTTAAAAAAAATAAAGCACACGTCATTATCGTAAGTATCGATTCATTGATTTCCTCATCGTTTTGTTTATCACACGAATTTTCCGTTAAAATCAAATGTAAACAATCGTATAAACGACTCCATTGTTTTGACGTGAAATATGGAAGTACCTGAAAGAAAATTTTCTTTTATTAAATTTTCCTTTCCTTTTCTAAAAACCTTATCACGTTGTTGTTGTTGTTGAAACGGTGATGAAATACAAACCGATACGAGAGAGTAAGCTATTGAACTTTTCATCAATTTATCATCTCTTCCACGTGGGATTCCAAATTTTCCATTTAACAAATTAAATGCAACCTTTATATTTTCACACGTGTTTGTCAAAATGGTAAATAACGATTCGTACGATGTTAAAATCTTTGGCCAAACTTTATTTATCCTTATGTGTACATCACAGAATGCTGATTGTGTCAATTCTGAATAATTTGATATTTCATTCGACAGCCATTTCATATTTGACTCTGTTAAAAAAAAATAACAAAAAAAAAAAATTACTTCCTTACTCGATAAATAAAAATCCTCATGTGGATTCACTTACCATGAAAAGAGGGATCTTGGGTAAAAGTATGTGATGATAAATAATCATTAATGATTTCATTCGATAAATTACAAATAAATTCTTTCAATTCCATTTTATCGTTAAAAAAATTCTCATTGTCACAACATAGATATTCGTATGTTTGAACCATGTAAACAAAAACATAATAAATATAATCATCCTTGCATTCCCACCAATGTGGAATTAAAATTTTTAACAATTTAAAATAAAAGAAAACTTTATCGAAATCATTTTTAATTAAATTCAAATTGTTCATTACAAATATTTCATCTGTGAATTTTTTACTCAGCGTATCGCAATCCAAACAAATTTTAAACAATTTTAAAAACATTTCTCTTTCACTTTCAGAATAATTGTCTATGTTTGTCATAACATCCATGAGTTGTTTTTCAATTATTGTCAAATCTCCTTCACTCCCAACTATGGATATCAATTTAAAATTATTAATAAAATCCAAAATGTTACCCTGATATTTATTCGTCAGGTTTGGTAATAAAAAAAAATTTTTAAATGCTTTTTCCCTCGATAACAAACAAGTACATGCGAAATCATATGAATTTGTTTTATCATCTCCAAATTTTTTCACAGTTTTTTCATAATAAATTTTAAGTTCATCATGATTATTACAATTATTTTCAAATAAATTTCCCAATGATTCTTCTTCTTCTTCTACGAAAACTCTTTTCAACCATTTCCAATAATTTTCCTCGTGTTCGTATTTTAACAATTTCATTATGAAAATTATCATTTTATTTAAATCATTATTATTATTATTTTTGACCGCATTCATACTTGATACAAATTTAAGAGATTCATTAATTAAATAATTTATATCATTATCATCTGCTAAATCCAAATGATTTGAAACAAATTCAAAAATTTCATCATCGTTTAAAATTAAAATTTCGCTTTTACTCGATTGAATCTCCGATGAATTCTCATTAATTTTTCTATAAATAATTTCTTTGAAATAAGATTTAGATCCTTGTTTTATATTTTTCATTAGATGACATATTTCATATTCATTTAATTTTTCCTTTTCGCTTTTAGGTTTTATTTTAAATCGAAGGAAAGAATTCAAACAACTTTGACTCACATTTTTGACTTCTTCGCATATGAGATAAACAGTTTCTCCTATAACTCTTTGAGCAGAATCATATTTGAAATTAATTTCAGACATAGATGAAAACATTTCCGATTCAATCATTTCCATTAATTTACTGACATGTTGAAAAGCTACATTCAAACAGTTTTCAGATGGTTTTAATATTGATAAATTATTAATCGATTGTAAACTAATGGCGACATCGAATAATGGCTTTTTATCATACTTGGTGTCGATTGAATTATATGTTCTTATCATGAACAAAAGTGCAAATAATAACTCTGACAGAGTCTTTGCTTTTACCATCAAATCACAATCTTGGTTTAAAAAATTATTTTTATATAAATTTATTATATTTTCACACAAGTCTTGAAAACATATGCAAACTTTTAATGTGTTATTATCCGAGTCAAATTTATTATACATGTAATGACTTTTAACAAAGAGAGATCTCCATAATTTGATTAATGTTTCATAGTATTCAATTTTAAATTGAATTATAACATCATTTTTTAAAATAACGGATAAAATTTGTGAAGTTATATCCATGTGACAATATTCGAATATGGTGCATAAATACTTATCTAAATTTAAATAAAAAATTGCATTGACGACTTCGTAAATGTTTAATGGTGGATTAATGCAAATGAATAATCCAATATTATCGTCACGTTTTAAATTTTCTAATAAATTTAAATCCGAATTTATTATCATAAAATAAACCATTTGTAATTTACTAACATCATCATCCTTATTATTATTATCATCACAATTTTTTTTTAATAAAAATATTTTTTTCAATTCGTTTATTGCTGTACTCGTTGGATCTAAAATCATAACCAAAAATTAAATTAATTAATTAATTAATTAAAAGCAAAATAAAAAAATTAAATAAATTTAAAATGAATTTTTATTGATACACTAAATAAATATTGCACAAAAATTAAAAAAAAAAAAAAAAAAACTTGCTTAAATCTTTAAAAATATCACGTTTTTGTAAACTTAATAGTGTTCCTTGTAAAACTGATAAATTATGATCGAATTCCATTTTTAAACATCACTCAACGAAGACTAATGAAAAATTTTTTTCCTCCTTTTCTTACTAGCGTCCTACGTTCTCAAACTCCCGCCATATTTGAATTTTTCAAATGATTGCAACGTTCGCGAATTCGGTTGGTAGCCATTTTTTTTTTTTTTTTTTTTTTACTCTTTGTAAACACAAGTAGTTTTCTATCTAATTATGTACGTTTATTTAACTTTCTCTTTTTTTATGAATAAAATTTCAATTCATTTTATATTTAGTCGATGACAAAATGGAAATCGTGACGTGTAAAGCACCTGTTAATATAGCCGCTATTAAATACTGTAAATATTTATTTATTTATTTATTTATTTTATTCTTTTTACATTTGGGATTAAAATCTCATCTTTATTATTATTATTATTTTAATTCGCAGGGGGTAAAAGAGATGAAACTTTAATATTACCATTAAACGATTCAATAAGCGTTACCATTAATACTAATTTTGTAAGTAAATTACATATTAATAATAATAATTAGTAAAAAATTCAACTTTTTCTCATTTTAAACTTTTTTTTTTTTTTTAGATGAGAGCTAAAACTACAATTGCAGCAAGTCCACATTTTAAAAATGATAGAATTTGGTTAAATGGCAGGTAAATAAAAATTTTGTAATTTGGCTCCTTGTCCTTGTCGATGTTTTTAAACAATTAACAAAAGTTAGATTTATAAAAACCTCTGCATATTGCAGCCATGTCAAAATTCAAGGATTATTATTATTATTATGTAAATCATATCGATTATGTTCAATTCAAATTTAAAATAATTTCTTTCGCAATTCAAACAATGAAAAATATCGACAAATGAATAAATTTTTTCATTTCCCTTTTTTTTTTTTTAGAGAAGAAGATTTTACAAATCCAAGACTCATGGCATGTGTCAATGAAAGTAAGTATCGACAACATTCGAATATCAAATCGATGCAAGGTAATGCAATAATAATGTCATGACTTTTTGTTTGCGTAGTCAGAGAGAAAGCTGGTAAAAGTCAAGATGAAAAAAAGAAAAAAATAGCAAATTGGAAAATTCACATAGCGTCGGAAAACAATTTTCCAACGGCTGCAGGTTTGGCATCGTCAGCAGCGGGTTACGCATGTCTCGTATACGCACTATCGCGATTGATGGGAATCGACGGGGATTTGTCTTCGATAGCGCGTAAGGGATCGGGAAGCGCTTGTCGGAGCATGCACGGAGGTTTCGTCATGTGGAAAATGGGAAAAGAAAAAGACGGTTCGGATTCCGTCGCGGAACAAATCGCACCGTCATCACACTGGAAAGAAATGAGAATGTTGATATTGATTGTTAACGGTTGTAAAAAAACAATCGGAAGTTCCGCCGGCATGGAGAGAAGCGTGAAAACGAGCGATTTTTTAAAAAATTTTCAACTCGATCAAAGAGTGTCCGCGTTGAGAAAAGCCATTTTAAATAAGGATTTCGTCACTTTCGCCGAAATAACGATGAAAGATAGCAATCGTTTACATTCCATATGTTTGGACACGTATCCTCCGATACAATATTTAAACGACACGTCGCACTACATAATACAACTCGTCCATTTTCTCAACGATCATTTTGGTAAACCCAAAGTCGCATATTCCTATGACGCGGGTCCAAACGCGTGCCTTTTTCTCCTCGAAGAAAACGTTTCACTCGTTTTATCTCTCGTCAATCATTATTTACCGCCTTTACTCGCGGAGACAAACACCGTAGAATCTTCTTATTTCAAAGGATACAAAGTCGAAGGAGGATTGGAACGTTCTCCACCTCCCCCTGATGTACTCAAAGCTATACCATTGACTCCTTTGGCACCCGGTGCTCTCAAAGGTATCATTTACGTCGACGTCGGCGATGGTCCGCAAATCCTGGGAAAAGAAGAACATCTTCTCGACGATAACGGTTTACCCATTACTTCTTGATTATTATTATTATTATTATTATTTTATCTTGTTGTTCGTGCCTTAATCGCCGACATTTTTCATAATCCATCGATCGATCGATTGATGACGTAGAAATTAAATATTTATTGGAAAATTTTTAAAACTTATAATTATTATTATTGTCACTATTGTTAAATATATATCAATTTTTTTCTCTTAATTAAATTAAATTAATTATTAATTATTTAATTAACACATTTAATTTAAAAGACGAGAAGAAGAAGAAGAAAAAAAAAAAAAAGACTCGAAAGGAAATTTATATGAAAAAGAAAAACAAACCAAAAAGAAAAATAAAAAAAAATAAATTTTTTTACCTACTTTGACTTGCGACTAATTTATTATTATCATCTTCATCGTTATCAGCATAATAATAATAATAATAATTATTATTTAAATTATATGTTAAACAATCAAATATTTATATATGTACTTTCACCCTTTTAAATAAATCGGAGAGAAAAAAAAATTAATAATAATAATAATAACTGATTCACTTGTTTGCCATGTTTTTCATTTAAAATGGACAAAAAAAAAAAAAAAAAAATTTTATTTATTACACTAATATTATTATTATTTCGCTTTGGCAGCATCACCAGAAACTGAAACGAAAAAAACAAAAAAAAAAAATTAATTTAATTTCGAATATCGATAAAAGTAAGTAACACAGTTAATGAATTCAAATTTCAGGTTTTCTTTCGGTATGAACCTAAAAAAAAAGGTACACACTCCATTGCATTGCTATACACTATATTAATAAATCAGTTGTCAAACTAATCGATTATATCGATATAATGTAATCGAGTATTTGTTAGTTTTTTCAAACTGTGACTAAAATCTATTATTATTATTATTACTATTGTTCTTATGTTAAGCATATGAGATTTTTTAATATCATTATTATTTTGGTAACACTAAACATTAGTAAATCACTATTAGGTACTAAAAAACATTCATGGTATCAAAAACCTGTTTCGATTACTTACACATCCATGTCGATATTATTATTATTATTTTTGATCTGGAAAAATATCGTTAGAGTTTAGAAATCGACAAAAGATAAATTGATTTTTTTTTTTTTTTTTTCCACTTCGAATCAAACATTTGTTCAATAAGAAAATTCTAGAAGGTTCTACGTATTACGTCACTTGTAAAAGGAAATAAATATTAAAATTATACACACCGACTGGTTTACCATCTTTCCATTGTGTAAATTTTATATGGGATTCTTCTCTTTTAGCAGCATCAGCTCTTTTTTCAGGTTTCAAAGCTCTTCGAAGCATTCTTGCTGCTATGTTTGAATATTGAACGTAGCTGTAACGTTTTTATTTTTTTTTTTTTTTAATTAAACGATCACACGTTCGCGTAACAAATATGAACGTTTATCAATTTATAATAATTATTATTATTATCACCGTTGAAATATTTTTAAAAAAAAAAAAAAACTTACTTTAATCCAACCATTCGAAATCCGCTCATTTTCTCTTTTATTTTATTTTATTTTAATTAAAATTTATCTTCTTTAATTATTTGTGAAAAGCAGACGATTCTAATAATTATGAGTAAAAAAAAGTGTCGGTAGTGAAGTTTAAACGTGGAACGAGAACGATTCAATTTGTTTGTTTATCGAACACCGTTTTAAACATGGCGGCGTCCCGCTTTTTTTACCCAACACTTTTTTTTCGTTTAAAAAATAATAAAAGTTTTTTTTTTTTTTAAAATTAAGTTAATTATTATAACGAAAAGAGAAATTTAAAGATGTCGAGATGTGATCGATGTAACAAAAATGGCGGGAAAAATATAAAATAAAATCAAATTAAAATGATTGATGGAGAATTGATGACCGGAAATATTACGTGGAAAATCCGACATTTTGTTTTTTTTTTTACTCCGACATGTTTATTTTGCTGTCGTGTCAATTACGTTAACTTTATCATTAGGTTTCGGGATTATTATTATGTATTATCCATTATGGTTTTCAAAAAGGGTACAAGTTTCATCAGGTACACCTTAGTAAATAGGTACATTTTGAATGATGAAAGGAGGAGGATGAGGAACGTCCAGGATGGATTGAAGGACTTTAATTTGTGGCAGGAAACGATTAAAAACCTTAAATTGTTTTGAGACATGTTAAGGATTAATAACGGAAATGGATGTGATAAACACAGAGACCGGAAACGGAAGGAAACAGAAATGTAATGACGTCATCAATACGAAAAAATTTACGGAAAAGAAAAACCGTTAAATCCACTTTTTCCACTAGTTTTTGACGCAATTAAAAAAATTTTAAAAAATTACGTAACTTATTTGTTATTTTCATCAAATCAACAGCAACAACAGCGACAGCAACAACAGCGACAAAAGGTAAACAAAGTAAATCACTTTTTAAAAAAAAAAAAAATTAAAATAAACAGAAAAACCGTCAAAATAAAATAAAGAAAAAATTTTTGATTTACGTCTCTTATTTATTTTCGTTTATTGTCGTCGTCGTCGTAGTGGAGGCTAAAAGAAAAGATGGAAAAGGAGACGAGAACAAAAACAAAAAGAAGATGATGAAGACATAATAAATACACGATTATATGAGACAATGATAGGTGATAAAAGACAAGCCAAAAAAAAAAGAAGAAAAAATTTAATTAATCTTTAAAATGAAAACGAACAAAAAGAAAAAAGAAAATTTACACACACACACACGCGGTAAAGGTAATCGTAAATCAAAAAATAAAATTTTCTGACGTTTTCAATGCCGATTTTAATTTTTCTTTTGACCTTGACCTTAATATGTACCATTGTTTGTTAGACAAACGCATAACCTTTTCTCTTTTTCAAAAAAAAATTTTCGACAGAAAAAAAAAAATTACATCATTTTTCAACAACTCATGACGATTTCACTCAGGATCATCATCATCAAAACGATACAAAATAATAATAATAATAATAACAAAAATTTTCCGAACGAGAAAATCGATCAAAAGTAAAATTTCGATCAGGGAAATCGATCGGGGAAAAAAATTTTCCCTGTGAAAACGAACAAGACCGTTGACGACGACCGTTAAAAAAATTCAAATAAATCGAACGTACCGCGATGACGTCATAAATTTTCATTAAATTTCCTCGCGAGAAAAACAAAAAAATTACTTTTCCAATTTCCCGTAAATTTTTTTTCTACTGTCAACCGTACCGTAAGCTAAACATAATATTCTCATTATTACTTTTTTTGCGATCGGAAAATAAATATTTGCTTTAACGTAAGTTAAACGTGAGCGACGTTTAAATAAATTTTAATTTAATGTAAGGTTCGTACCTGTTGTCGCGTTACGCAATCGAATAACAAAAAAAAAAAAAAAGAAAAATTATTATTAGCCAAACCGTCAGTAATTGGCAAACGGTTGTGTGGCTAAAATTATTATTTTTTTTTTTTCTTCTTTTCTTTTCTTTTCTATTTTTTTCTATCGATTAACGACATAAAACCGGAAACGCGAAACCTACAGAAAATAAAATTTAGTTTTACGTAAAAAAAATATCGGGCTGTTGCTGTTGCTGTCGTTTGTTTGTTTTTGGTTCGATTTAATAAACGTGCGATGAAAATGAATTTTTCGAAATGTAGACTTAAAACTTTTAAATAACAAAAACAAACAAGAACAAACGAAAAAAGTTATCGAGTGCCAATGATTTAAAAAACTAATAATAATAATACTAATAATAATATTCGAACAAAAAAAAAAAAACGGAAAAACAAAATCTGCCGTCGCCATTTTATAAAAAAATATACATATAAATATCAATTTATAATAATAATAATTATTATTATTATTAATATTATTATTTTATGCGTGAGTGTTTTTTTTTTTTGTTTTTGTTTTTTTTTTTTCTAAGTTAAACCTAAATCCGCATTAATCCGCGTTAATCCGCTTTAATCCCGGGTTAATCTCTATTTTTTTTTTTTTTTTTGTTATCATTACCAATAAATTCTCTAATGACCGTGATTTTACGTTAATTCATTCATTCATTCATTCACTAATAATTTTTTGTTTTTCGTTGCGAAAATAAATTTTTACATTTTTATTATTATCATCATCATCATCGATCATCATCACTATTATTATTATTATTGTTTTATTCCTGTGATTATTATTATTATTATTATTAAGAGAAATTTAGGGGATTGATAAATTTATTAATAAGTTATCGATTCGGCAATTGAAAATGCGCGCATCGCAAAGGAAAACAAAAATTTTTATCATTATTATTATTATATTTTTTCCCCTTTTCTGCCCTGTTTGTTCCAGTGAAAAAACGAAATTAAAAAAAAAATATAACGATGATGATGATGATATTGTTTAACAAAAAAATTGACTTAAATCGGTTTTTTTCCCCTCCCGGTGAATTTTTAAACATTTTCAATTTTCCGACGGAAATGGTTTTTTTTTCTACATTTAGGGAAAACAGGAAACGCGGTTCGAAATTATTTCGATATGAGAAAATGGTGAGGAGGTGGAGGAAAGAGGGGGAGGAATGAGGGGGAGGGAAAAGAGAAAAAAAACATTTGAGAGCAATGATGATGAATTAAACGAAAAAAAAAAAAAAACTCGCGAAACACTATTTCATTCTACTGACACGTTAATTTAAATTTATTATTATTATTATTATCATTACTATTATTATTATTATTATTATTATTAAATAAATCATGTTCGATCCCGATCGCGTAACGAACAAAAAGAGAAAAAAAAAAAAAAAAGCAAAATTCCTTTTTTTTTCCTCAATCGTCAATTTTATCCTCGTTTATTTTATTATTACCATCATCATTATTATCATTATCATTATTATTATTATTATTTGTTTTTCGTTTTCATAAATCATTTTCATAAAGTTTTTGAAATCAAAATTTTTTTTTTTTTTTTTATGAAAAAAAAAAAAAAAAAACCTTTGTGCCATCAATCGTTTTCAATGTCGTCCTCAATGGATACGCAATATAAATATGAACAAGGATAACAAACATTTTTTTTTCTTTTTTTGCTTCATTTTATCCCCTCCCCTCTCCTCCCCTCCCAAAAAAAAAAAGGAAAAATGGTTTCCGTGCGAACAAATATGTCTGCCATTGAATATACTTATAGAACACGCGATGTTAATAACCGAGACATTATTCGATTACACTTTAATATAAATAACTACAATTATAAATTACAATAATTTCTATTAATTACAATCATTACAAATTTTGGGCGTGCGCATGCGCGTGAGCATGTTGTAATTTTCCTAACGAAACGTTATTAATAAATAAAAATGTTTAAAATTATTATTATTTTTTCAGAAATAATTGAAACAAAAAAAAAAAAAAATGGTTTTGCAAGAGACGGACAACACCGGAAAGGAAAACAATAACGAGGATTCGAATCCAACGATAATACTAACGACCGATGAAGGAGGGGACAGAGGGGTGAAACCCGTCGGAGGGGATGATGAGAAAAAAGTATCAGAGACGAACGGGAAAGACGAAGATGATACGACGAGAAAATCCATCGAATTAACGGACGAAGAACTTGCCGCAAAGGGAAAATTCAAAATGTCGGCAAAAGAAAAATGGAGAATATTGAAAAACGTTACGACCGTTAGTTTGGCTTTCATGGTGCAATTCACGGCTTTTCAAGGCACTGCCAACCTTCAAAGTTCGATAAATGCCAAAGACGGTCTAGGTACGGCTTCCCTGTCTTCCATTTACATGGCTCTTGTTCTTTCCTGTCTTTTCGTACCCACGTACCTGATAAAAAAGCTCACGGCCAAATGGACTCTGTGTTTGTCAATGTTATGCTACGCTCCTTACATAGCCGCACAATTTTATCCGACTTTCGGTACTCTCATACCGTCGGGTATACTTTTGGGAATAGGAGCTGCTCCGATGTGGGCATCGAAAGCGACGTACCTGACCCAAGTCGGAGGAGTATATGCTAAGATAACGAATCAAGCCGTCGATGGAATCATCGTTAGATTTTTTGGTTTTTTCTTTCTCGCATGGCAAACCTCCGAACTTTGGGGAAATTTGATTTCGTCTCTCGGTTAGTTTCACTCATTTTCCAGACGCCATTTTGTTTTTTTTTTTTTTTTCTTAATCATTTCTTCTTCTGTTTTTCCATCCAGTTTTATCGAGCGGCGTTCACAAGGGCATATCATCAAATTACGTTCCTCATAACGTTACCGACGAAGCTTTGCTATCATGCGGTGCCAACTTTTGCATGTCGTCAAAAAGTGCGAATGAAAATCTCGAACGTCCTCCCGATTGGGAAATTTACGAAATCAGCGGGATTTACCTCGTTTGTATTTTACTGGCAGTTTTAATGGTTGCTTTTTTGGTGGATCCTCTTTCAAGGTAATATAAAATAATCATCATTTGCGATCAGAAAAAATTTATGCCAAACTTTATATATAAAAAAAAAACAGGTACGGTGAAAAGCAAAAGAAAAAAGACGTACCGGAATTGACGGGTTTGCAATTGTTCACGGCAACGGCGGTACAATTGAAAAAACCGTTACAACAGCTACTCATACCCATAACCGTTTGGATTGGAATGGAACAAGCATTCATAGGAGCCGACTACACGCAGGTATTTTTATCTAATTAATAGAAAAACATTTAAAGGTTCCGCCTCAACCTAACCAAAAAAAAAAAATTCCAGGCTTTTATTTCCTGCGCATTAGGGATTTCATACGTCGGATACGTCATGATTTGTTTTGGAGTCGTCAATGCCATTTGTTCGGTACTTTTTGGAACCCTCATGAAATACATCGGAAGATTTCCCATCATGACATTTGGTTTCATCGTACATTTTTCATTAGTCATATTCAAATTGATTTGGGCTCCGAGTCCGGATCATCCGTTTGCTTTTTTCATTGTTTCCGGTTTGTGGGGAGTCGGTGATGCCGTTTGGCAAACTCAAGTTAACGGTAAGGGGAAAACCCCGCGGAAATCTTGCCCTGCCCCTTCCCTCCCCCTTTTCTCAAAAGTTATTTTATTATTCTTTGCTCCAGGTTTATACGGTACTTTGTTCAGGAGGAAAAAAGAAGCGGCGTTCAGCAATTACAGACTTTGGGAATCCGTTGGATTCGTCATAGCATACGCGTACAGCACGTCTTTATGCGCAAATATGAAACTATACGTTTTACTGGCCATACTTTGCACTGGATTTTTAGGATACATAATTGTCGAAATATTACAAAAGAGAAAAAAGAAAAGGCAACAGGAGAGAAAGGATTCGAAAGCTGTTTCGACGACGGGTGTTCCACCGCCGCCTACCATAACCGAAGCCGAACTCGCAACATCCGGAAAGGATTTATCGTATTCGAAAGAGGAAACAGACGACGAAATAGACGACATTGATGACGATATCATAGTCACACAATTGTAGTATTCAATCCGCAACAATCGTTTCATAACAAATAATTACGACGAAAAAAAAAAATAAAAATAAAAATAAAAAATAAGAAAATAAAATGATTAGATTAAAAACGCGATTCGTGAGAATAAAAAAACCGACGGCAGCGACGACGACGGCAAAAACAAAAAACAACAATTTTCGCACGTAAGCTAACTAAAGACGATTTTCAATTTCTCAAATCCCTTTACAACGATGAAACTCGTATCATGCAATATAAGAAAACCCATTGAATTTAAGTTAAACTTACCCATTGTAGTATTTTCTTATCTTTCAAATTTGTAAAATTAACGTTCCGCCATTTTTTTTTTTTTTTTCAAAAAAAAAATTTAACGGTTTTTGAAAAAATTGTAATTAACTGTTGATAATAAACGCAATTCGTTCGGAAACGAACCAAATCGTATAAAAATTCTGAAAAAAAAAAAAAACAATGAAAACAATTATTATTATTATTTTAAAATGATTTCAAATCAAAACAAAACGACAAAAAAAGATATATCGAACAAATGGAAAAGATATATAATATTAATAATAATATTAATATTAAAATTTCATTCTCATCATTTTTTACAAGAATCCGATTTTATTAATAATAATAATAATAACAATACTCTAAACGTCAATGACGTTTTTCAAGGTTTTCTATTTTTTTTTTTTTTTTCGACTGTCGTATAAATTTTCCCAGACGGTCATTCATATCAATTTTTCTATTATTTTTATTATTATTATCATCATAGTCACTACTGTGAAATGTCGTCGTCGTCGTCGTCGTTTTATTATTATTATTATTTGTTGTTTTCCATTGAGAAATTGTAACACGGTTATGTGATTTTAATCAATTAATTTAAATTATTAATGTTAACATAATTAATAATAATAACAATAATTTATTTATTTATTTCCTATAATTAATGATTTGAAAATGATGATGTTCCTTGAAAACTAATGATGATAATAATAATGACCAAAAACTTTGGGAAAACGGTTATGTGATGAACACGGTTCCACGAACACAAATCAGACTTTAAACTTTATTACAATTAAATTAAATTAAATTAAATCAAATTACTTACAAAATGAAGTACTTGATATGGTAATGGCGTCACATGAAAATGAATATGGTTAAATAAAAAAGTAAATAAATAAAAATGGACTCACCTTAAAAGGTAGAAACGTTTTCAAACAACGGTTAAACACAAAATTTCACTTTATTACTTTTCACTTAACACCATAAATTAATTATTAAAAAATTCTTTTACATGTTACACAAAATGTTGTTTATTAATAAATGAAGTTATTTCGGAGGTAAATTATTTCTTCTACCACGACTTGACTTCAACCACGTCATTTTATTTTTTATATGGTCGCCGACCGTAAATTTGTGTATTAAAAAATGACGGCTTCTGTTGCGACAAATCCTTCGACATTATTACCACTCGGTGAGTAACTTTTATTTATTAATTTCCATAAGTTTAAATTTCTTTTTTTTTTAAATATTCTTCCATTTTAATTCTCACGCAGTTTTGTTTTCTTTTTAAATCGAAATCCCATTTTGTTTGACATAACCTCAACTGGTTAACTTTTTTTTTCAATAAAGCCGCTTTATTGTATTTGAAACATTTTTTATTTTATTGTTTAGAACTCGTCGATAAATGCATCGGTTCCAGAATACACATAATTATGAAAAACGATAAAGAAATTGTCGGTACTTTATTAGGTTTTGATGATTTTGTCAATATGTTACTTGAAGATGTAACAGAATATGAATCGACACCTGAAGGAAGGAGAATAACAAAATTGGATCAAATATTATTAAATGGAAATAATATAACAATGGTATTTATTCATTATTATATATATATTCAAGCGACAGCTCGATAAGTCATTTTCCTAATTATTATTATTATTATTTTTTTCTTTTCAGTTGGTACCTGGTGGCGAAATGCCAGACACATAATACTTACAAATCATTTTATTATTATTATCATAGATTTATAATTTTTACTATCTTATAATTTATCAAAATTTTTTTTCGACTGCCATTAATAAAATAATTATTAATAAATTTAATTGTAATAATAATAATAATAATAATAATATTGATAATATTAATTTATACATTATTCTTAAATACGATTTTTTTTTTTTTTTTGTTCGAATGAATGAAAATTTTTACAAAACCTTAAAATGTAAATTATTACTGTTGATAAATATCATATAAATAATAACAGTGATGATGATGATGATGATGATGATGAGAATGATAATGATGATTATTATGAAATAAACTGTCACGTGGACCGAATAAACCACTAAAAAAATCCATAATTTTTTTTTTTTTTACAAAATTAAATTAACTTACTTGTAACTGTATCGTTGATTATTCACTGGTCGTTAATAATAATAAAATGTGGGGATAGGGGTGGGGGGGGAAACGTTTCCTAGTAAGTTTGAACGTTTTCCAGATATTCTGTTATTTCTAACATTGCCGGCCTATTTTCTGGATTGTGATCCCAACATTTCGTGTAAAGATTTTCAAAAAATTCATTTTTTTTAATTTTTTTACACGGTCTTGTTTTTCTTTTGACTATCTGAAAAAAAGATTTAAAGAAAAAATTATTATTATTATTATTACTTAATGGAGTTTTAAGTTTTTCTTAACGAATCCTAAGAAAAAATTTTCCAGGTAATACAATTAAACATAGCACAATTTTCCCCTTTTGTTTACTTGCACCACCGCATCTTCTCTCGTACTACCCCTCGTTTAAAAACCTGGGAATAACCCTTAAAATTTATCATTATCATTATCACTCTTAAACACGACAAGGTTCTTATTTGTCGGGGTTTTTTATTCCAGGTTTCTACCCGACCGTTTCCTTAGGGACAAATGCTCAAATTTCGGTGGTGCTATTTATATATTATCCCGAAGAATCATCCCACATAGTGCAATTTCCTGGATGGTTTCTTCTTTTAAATTTCCTTTTATGTGTGTCATGGCTTCCAACGACGGTCCCACGATGACCGGAATTTATTATTATTATTATTATTTAAACGTGAAATGATAATTTTTAAAGATGAAAATATTGGGTTGGCAAAAAGATATTTACGAATTTTTTAAGAAAACAAAAAGCGATTTATTAATTTTGCAAAATTATTTTTATCTATTATATTATGTCCATTATTATTAATGACCTTTTGACATTTTTCGGGTAGTATCATTTTCCTTTTTTCATAAAAGTCTTTAGTTTTAGGAGCAAAAAACTGGTCCAATGCAGTTTTGACCTCATTGTCGTTTTGGAATTTTTGTCCGTTTAAAAAATTTTTTAGGAATCGGAAAAAATGATAATTATTTGGAGCTAGTTTGGGACTATATGGAGGGTGCAGCAAAACATTCCAGCCTAGCTCCAGTAGTTTTTGTCCAGTGGCTAAAGATGGGGAGAGCCTGGCATTATCGTGGTGAAAGACAATTCCTTTGCTATTGGCTAGTTCCGGTCGTTTTTCTTGGATGGTATCATTTAAATTTGTCAATTGTCGAATGTAAACCTCTGAATTTATGGTCTGACATCGTGGCAGCAGCTCAAAGTTGACTATGCCTTTGTAATCTCACCAAATTTATGACAGTATCTTTTTTTGCTTTATGTCAACCTTAGAAGTTGTTAGTGCCTGTTTCCCTTGCATAAACTTGGATCTTTTCCTCAAAAAGTCATCATAGACAACCCACTTTTCATTTTCGGTGGCCATTCTTTCAAAAAAGGGTCATTTGCATTGCGTTTAACAAGCATATCGCAAAGACCAAGTCGCCTCGTTAACTAACGTTCCTCAAAGTAATGCATCAAGCTTTTTTTGGCACTCAAGACGCCGCAGACAGTTTTTGACGCACGTATCTGACACATCTAGCTTCTTTACAATGTCCTTCGTCGAACTATGCCGATCATAATCAATGAGGGCCTTTATTTGCTCATCTTTAACCTCCAATTGGCGCCCGGAGCGCTCCTCATTTTGCAAAGAAAAATCTCTAGAACGGAATTTCGCAAACCAGTTTTGACACTGCCCTTCTGTTAAGGCTTCATCTCCCTACACGACCCACAACTTTTTATTGGCCTGGGAAGCATTAACACTCTTTCAAAAATAAAAAAGTAAAATGTAGAGGAAATGCTCGCTCTGGCTCCCCATGCTTAAATGTCTATTGCTCGCGCACTATTTAAGAGTTCAATGAAATTTTGGTACTGAATGTTACACAAGGAACCAAGTAATAACATACCAAAAGTTCATGTTTGTACATAAACGTAAACGTACTCAAAAAAATAAACAAACTATCTGTTGGTAAAATCCGCAGTTACTTATTGGCCAACCCAATAATTGACATTGAGTTTAAATTGAAGGGCGTTAATCATTTAAACAAACAAACCTTGTAAATTGTTGATTGTAAATCAATTTTATCATCTACGACGTAGGGTTTCTCCCTATGTATGACTTGCCAAAGCGTTATACCAAATGAATAAACGTCTGCTTTATCAGTGGGCGATTCTCCAGAGAGTAATTCTGGAGATGCATATATAACAGTACTTTGCTAAAATAAATAAACAAAAACCTTCGACTAAACAAACACATGCATGGTTGGAGAAAAACGTTAATGATGATAATGATGATAAAACTGGATTTTACCAGTGCTTTATAATCGGCTCCTGCATTGTCTACTCCCATAAAAAGGCAAGAACTTCCAAAATCGCACAACTTACATACGTTTGTAGTAAGGTTAACTAATATATTCTTTGGTTTAACATCTAAATGAAGAACTCTTTGACTATGGCAATGACCAAGTGCTCTACTAATGTCAGTCATGTAACTGTAAGGAAGAAAAGAAAAAATAATGATGATGATGATGATAACATTGTGAAATGGAAACGATTTGATTGAAAAACAAAACCTCGTTATCGATTTATCATCAAGTACAAAAGATTCATCTTGTGTTAAATGTTCCAGATTTAATCCAGAACACATTTCCATAATGACCAAACCGAAAGAACAATTTTCATCGTTTGATATTATCCGAAGAGTTTGGACAATGTTCGGATGATAAAGTAAAAAATTATTTAATTCGTTTTTTAATGTTGCTGATTTTTGCGGTGGTACTATTTTGGCAGCCACTAATC